CTGGATGTTCGGGTCCAGCCCTAAGATCGGTGACTGGATATTTACCCAGAACATTAAGTGTCGCTACCTGTGATCCACGAGAAACTGTCAGTCTTACAATTTAACTTTCCTCTTGTTGTTTACTTTTGGTTTTCGTTGGTTTGATTCAGGCACCAAAACCACGTGGTTAGCGTTAGCAACTCCACTTTTACATGTTTCACAAGCTTGGTTAAGATTAGACACCAAAATTATATCGTTATGGTTTTAAAAAACGTCATTGTTTGGGTTTATCCTTTCACTACAAGCATCTCCTCTGTTTTTTGGGTTACCAAGGTGACAAGTCCTGCCCACTTAATATATGATTGGAACAACAGTAAAGCGAAAAATTAAATGGCAAAGACATGATGATTAGAAATGTATTCGTAAAAAACGTTCCAAAAGTAAGTGAGAGTTCAGTTCAGTTGATGGTAACATGGTTTCATGGAGGTTTGTTCATTACACAGATGCATCATGAAGTTTTGAAGCCACGCTCCACACGGCGCCACGCTGTAATTCTCATAATGAATCAAGTTCCTCATCTTAAAATGTAAATCTGCGGCTTCATTTGTACCTTCACATGAAGTTGTATTTTCACCCCTGTCAGTTAATCTGTATGTCAGCATGGCGTCTGAGAGGCTCATGAACAAATTTCCATGAAATTTGGTAGCGAGATCAGCCTGGAGCCAGGCGACGCTTGATTAGATTTTGATAGTGATCTGGACTTGTGATTTCCACTATTATATGATTATTGTTTCCACCCCCTCCCTACACATATTGGATATAGAGATTTAATTCCAAATCCAATCCAAAGTCTAACGGTATGCTCGCAGGGTCAAGAAATCGATTTCACCTCAAATTTAAGAAAGGAGGACTGCTCGGTGTCCTTGAAGGTGGCTTCCCTCTAGTTTTTGCTCATATTTTAGATGACACCTGAAAAAAAAAGATTTCAGGCTCATCTCTGGCATTGAGGAAGGAGGGGTGGAGGGGGGGAAGCTACAATACTGGATTTGTCATCTGCCCCTTCGTTCTCGACCCTCCCCTTCCCGGGGCAAATGGTGTAAGAAATGAGACGTGGCTGGTAGATAGACTTTCATGCCCCTGCTTTACCAGTGTCATTTCCGCAACTCTGAAATTGTGCCATGGTCTACAGGGCTTTGTTGTAAATCACTATCTCCCACTGTCAGACTGCAGTCTGCTGCACACTGTGGATGCCTGGCTTTCTGCTGCCTCCTGGGTGACTAATATATCTTGTTAAATTGTGCTGAGAAGCGTGCGGAGAACTGTACACCTTCCCTCTTTGTACTGTGTTTGTTTGCTTGCCTGTGCGCTTGTGTGTACCTGCTTGAAAACGTGCGCGCCCGGCCGTGTCCGTGCATCTGTGTCTACGTTTCTCTTTTTTCTTTTTTTTTTGGTGACTGAATAGGTAGGTGGGGGGATGTTACTTTTGCAAATATGTTCGCTAAACTCCACAAGTCTGTCAGGCTTTGTTGGTAATTCAGTTAGATTGCTATTCGGCCAGCTTCCGCTCACCCCCACTACAGTGTCGGGAGTTGTGGAGCTATCTCTCAGCCACTTCATAATTAGAAAAGCTGTGGAGCCAAGCCACAGTTTGAGGGGGAAGAGGGAGGAGAGAGAGAGAGAGAGAAAAAAAAAAAAAGCTGTTGGCAGACTGCATTATTCAACATTGGCAGCAATTTACTCTGTCTCCCACCCCAAAGACATGAATCTAAGTGATTTCATAGTCACATCCGTCCTAGTGTGCCATATTGTATAAAGCTGGACTCTTCTCTTATCACCGGTTCTTAAGCCACGCACTGTACGCTATCAGCCTCATCCAGCGCCGCACGCCGTCAACACACGTCTGTCCGAGCACTTTGAAAATAGATTTATGAGTATATTTCTATGTAATTGGTGTTCTCCCACACAAAGCAGGGGGAAGATAATTAAGCATTGTTAAGTGAGGTATAATTTGTCTGATCCATGTGCATTTATCTTCCCAACACACGGGGAGTAAAATAGGCCTTTTCGGCGAGGAGGGGGGTGGGGGGAGGATTTGTGCAGACTACAGTGATGTTCGACTCTCCTGGCCACCGTCCAGCAGCTCAAATCCCCTCTGCTGAAACCTGTCGAGAAACAGCCTCGCCGCGGCTTAACCGTATCCCGTCTAATTCTTATGTCTCTTTTAGTCATAGCAAAATTCAATCTGGGACTCAGGGTTGACCTTCAGGAGGGAAGGTGACGGAGGCCTTCCCCCCCCCTACACCTGCCAGTAGTAGTTTAAGCAGACGTCACACTTTTTCTGCCTCCTTTTGTGTGTGTGTGTGTGTCGGAAGAAGCCCTTATTTTGGGGTTTCAGTGCAATTACGGTTCTGGCTGCTCCATAAATAGGCGTCTCTGAAGGGAATCTGTCTCATTAGTAAGGAGCGGTGATGAAATTGCCATTGTGCCTGCAGAAATGTTGCTCCAGTGGTCACGAGAAGCCTCAAGAATTAAAAAGACAGCGTCACGGTAAGGAGGTAGGTAGGTAGTTGGAGGGAGGCGAAAGTTTGACTCTGCCAGCAAGCGAGGGTGTCGCTCTGGAGGGCAAAGTGGAGAAACAGCGAGAAACCCACTTGGCTGAAGCAACTCCAGATAAATATTTGGCGCGAGAAAAGATCATGGGAGGGATCCCGCAGCACAAACAACGTCATGATTTATTATCGCGTCTGGCAGACCGTGACTAATGCACTCAACAACGAATTAAAAAAAATAAAAAATCTAGGTGCATCGAGCCAGCTAAGACGCCCACCGGTGCTCTCCGACTTCTTGAGGCATCCGAAGCACACGCCGGATCAACAAATGTCCACAAGTATGCAAACACGACACGGGAGGGGCGAGGGAAGGAAGGCCGCAGACATCACCGCAGGGGGAATCGGAGCGGCCGCTGGGATGTGATTTTATTAGCTCCAGATGCCGCCACCGCCGCACGCAGGACTGCAAAACGCTCAATATTACGAGCAGGACACATCAAAAATGATGCTGCCCATCTGGAGCACAAATAATGTAATCAACTCGGGTCACCGGTCATCGTCGTCTGGCCGTCGGGTAAACCCACCATCCCAGTGACGTCAGCGCTCACAGGGACAGGATGGAGCCGGCCGGCAGATCCTGACTCTTTTTTTTTTTTTCCTTTTTTTGGAATCTCCCCTGAGCGTCTGACCCGCAGAGTGAAGATATTTGGGAGAAGAGACAGATGAAATGTGAGCGACTGTCTATTGTAATCTGAGCTCCGGTTTAAAAATCGCTGATGGCTCTGATGTGTCTATTCCCCTGCCTGTCAAATCAGTTCCGCAATATTGCTCTTAACGTCTTCATGCCGAGGCGCTCGCGCAGCCGGGCGCCCCGTAAATACATATACGCCGCGCATCCGTATGATCCCTGCACACATGCGCGCGCTATTTGCAGCCGCCGTTAAATATTCAGTACCTGTCGTGTTTTCTGTATGACTTTGATCAGCCACAGATTCCACTCTGTCCCTTTCATCTCTGAACTTCAAACCGGTGCATGAAAAAAGAAAAAAGAAAAAAACGTGGACCACAAAAAAAAACCTGTTCTGGTTTCAGACAATCTCCTTTCACCAAGATGAATAAAAAAATAAATAAAAACATGCAGGGAAGTTAACCTACTCTTTTCAAATGTAAACCGTCCCCCTTTTCTTTTCACTGCACAGCTGAGGACGAGTTTGTAATTTTGAAAGCATGTGTGCAGTTGCAGAATCCACCCGGGGTAGTTTCACAACTCCCCCACAAACAACTTCTTGGTCGCCTCCAGGCGTATTACCTCAGGCTCACTTTGAGCCAGCAGTAACTAACATGGAGCAGCCAAACAGGGTGGTGGGAGGGGGGGGGGGGACAGTGAAACTTTTGATTTTCTCCAAGCACTAAATTCAATTTTCAGGATTTCCACAGGCCTGTTACATTCATCCGTCAACACCTGCAACTTTTGAGCAAAACAAAAAAACAGCCGAGTTAATCCCTTTATAGTCCCATCTGCATTATTCAAGCAGCACATTAAATATTCACAGCCACATCACTGATATCATCTTGTTGTCAATAACGCTGGAGGACATGTTGTTTTAGAGAACTTGAGTCAACTCCAAGAGGGCAAACACCACAAGAAATGAAGAAATAAGAGAAGAATCAGGGCCCTGCTTTGAGCTGGTGTGTAAAAAAGAAGAAGGAGAGGAGAAAAAGAAGGGCAGCAGAGCATCACAGCGCGACTGCAGGCAACCACAGATAGACAGTCATCCGCCTTTATCGGAGCACGCTGTCCCACCTGCATCGATTCGCATCCCGCGGATTTGGCTGCAGCGAGATCATCGGCGCAGGAGGCGGATAAGGGCGTGCGAACATATCAAAAATATAGGGAATAAAACGAGCCGGATTCGTGCGTAAAAGAGGCCGACCCTCAAGTTTCATACGTGACAAAAGGAGGCAAAGTGTGCCTTCGGCCTGCACGACCGCATCAGCTGAGCGCATCGGCGGGGCAGAGCGTGGCCGCCTGCTCCGCTCCGCTTTGCCGCTGCGGCGTCGTGCAGGCAGGCAGGCAGGCAGGCAGGGACCAGGAGGGGCACCTTCCGACGCCACGATTACGCACGGAAGGGGGCAAAATTGCGCAAAAAGTTGATGAAGCCAAGTTGAACGACGCGCATACAAATAACTTCCAAACTCATTTCCAATTCAAAGCCCGAAGTTATTCCACTAATTAATCCGCAGCAAACACGGATCCTCTGCCCCAGTTGCGTTTTTTTTTTCTCCATTTTTTTTTTTCTTTTTTCTTTAAAGAATCTACACGAGCGCGACACATGGTCACTGATCGGACATTTCGAAAACGCTGCAGAAGACATGAAAGCGAAGAGAGAATGAGATGAGACGGTTTCCACGGCGGGGAGAGAAGAAGTTGCAGGCAAAAAAAAAGATTAGGAAAGAAAGGAAAAAGCTCACCTGATTGTTAAGTTTTCTTCCAGATTTTCGTGCCAAAAGGCGCAAAAAACAAAATCGTCGGAGAGTATCCGTTCACTGCAGCTTTTGGGTTGCCCGTTGTTCCACCTCAACTGCGCGTCTCAGTCGCGCTGCATCACTTCTCGCTGTGGATGTCAGGGAGGCTGAGAGGCTGTGAGGGGACTCAACCCTCCCATTGGCTGCCATTCACAAGTCCCCAGCAGAACACGGTGGGAGAAAAAAAAAAACAGGGAGAAGGGGAGGAAGAAAGAGGAAAAAAAAAAAAAACACAGAGAGATGCGCACACGAGCGACAAAAACAAAAGGAAGATGGTTGGAGGAGAAAAAAAAAAACGCAGATTAGAGCTCCGGAGCTGCTGCGATTCAACTGGCAGCCGATGTTCAAGTTTAATAACAAGCTAAACGCGCTTCCTTTACATCTGCATAATCCCTGATTAACATTTGCAAAGTCAGAGGTTGACTGTGGGCTGGAATCAATCAATACCCTGTTTTTTATTTTGGCCAAAGCATCCAGTCAGGATCACTGCTGCTGCCTTTAAAAACCTGATCATGTATGATGACAGCAGCTAATTCAATTCTACATGAACTCCACTGTCATGTCAGGGTGAATTAACACGTGTTTTAATAAAGCCGCCAAGTCACCAGTTAGTAATTGGATCAACTTAATACTGTGTGTAATGTCTGGGTTAGTTGATTTATAACTAAATTAAATTGAGACAACTCAATAAAATTAAGTTTTACTTAGCTTGAGTTCAGGATTTATCTATCTTAACATGCCAGGACACCTCCACAGCATGTGTTTTGATATGTTAGTAGCTTCAACAGCCACTAAAATACATCCATCCATCCATTATCTATACACCGCTTAATCCTCCAGGAGACATCCTGGACAGGTCACCAGTCTATCACAGGGCTACACTTAGAGACAGACAACCAAGCACACTCACATTCACACCTACGGGCAATTTAGAATCACCAATTAACCTCAACATGTTTTTGGACCTTGTGGGAGGAAGCCGGAGAACCCGGAGAGAACCCACGCTGCACGG